AGATGCCAAATAATGTGTAAGAATTCAAAGCCTTGAAGGACATAAGAATAATACAAGTGATCATGTTACCCCTACCTTCCCTCTACCCATCTTCTATTGATGAAACCTTAGAAGGACCCACAAAATACTTCCTACTTCAAGGCCTTCAAATGTAAGAGGAGTACCACTGCTTTAAAAAAAGACTCCACAGGGATGCAGGTAAAGGCTGGAAGCTGGGCTACCTGCTTCCACCTGGAGGACAGAAGCAGCCAAGCAGTGGCATTTAAGTGCCAGTGGATGGGAAAGTCAGGGTAATTAGCGACAGACAGGAAGGAAGGGTCGTTAAATAGCCTGTGACTGGGGCTCTAGGGGGAGCTCAGTCAGTACAGTTCTTGCAACATAAGCGTGAGGACCTGAATTCAGATCCACAACACCACTGTAAAAGCCATGGATCCCACACATATACAATCTCTGAGACAAGAGCATTCCTCGAACTTGTTGGCAAGCTATTCTAACTAAATCTTTGAGCCCCAGCTTCAATGAGAGCCTGTCTTAAAAAGTAATGTGGAGAACAACTGACAGCAGATGCCAATTTCTTGTGTCCATATTCACAAGCACATATGCAAGTACACATTCTCTCTCTCTTTCTCTCTCTCATGTGCATGCACACACACACACACACACAAAATGAATGCATTAAATTAAACACTGTGTGAATCTTTTGCAGCAGTGAATGGATTGTGGAGGCTTTAGGATCACTTTAAGAAGCCCATGAACCCTGTTCAACTACAGCATTCAACTAAAAACAACATTGCTTCTCCAGAGAGGACCACAGACAGTGTCACCATGGGAGACCTGGTGATGGTGACTCTCTTTACATCTCCACTCACCTCTTTACTTGGGTCAAAATGACTCTCTGGAAGCAGAGTCGAAGAAGCTGTGCAATTCCAAAGACTGACAGTGGAGCACATGGCATAGCACAAGATTCCATCCCATAAACAGCTTCCAAAACAGCCTTTAGACATAAGCTTTATGAGGTTTCAAAGCTCGACCCTCAGAACAACATCCTCCTGGAAACTGCACCTCGCAGCTACCCATGCTCTTTCTAACACCACCAGGCTAAATGCATCACCCAAGAAAGTTTGTTGAAATGTCAGCCAAGGTGGGTGATTAAGTGTCAGGGGAAGCAAAGGAGTCTTAGTTAGGTGTGGATGGAATCCAGAGGTTCTCTTTAGCATCTCCATGTACTGCCAGGGCTAGCAGAAGAATTTTCAAGAATGAAACTACAGATATGTAAAACTAGGAAGGATGCAGCCTCCAATAGAAACAGCTGGCTCTAACTGTACTGCCTGAAGTCAAAGATAGCTGTAAGCAAACAGAAACGGGGTACAGGACGAGGGAGCAGCGAACGAAAGCAGTGAATACCAGCTGTAGCCCTAGGACCAGTATATAAAATAATAACATTAATCCACACTTACATTTTGTTCATTGTTATATCTATGTACATGTTGCAAATTTTAATTCATTTTCATTTTCTTTCTTATTTTCCATCATTCTGTATAAGGTATACCAGAGTGGTCAACTTCACTACTGAGCCAGCAGGCATCATGACATAAAACTAGGTAATATGGATGCCAGCCCAAGGTCCAAGACTTAGCAGTAAACACAGTGGTTCATAAGACCTGGACTATGCAGAGACTCACTTCCATTTGCACAGAGATCACGTTAAGGGTGTGTGAGAACCGGGAAAATGAACACCCAGATGTTGGAGTGTAAGAAGTAAGTTGTGCTGCTTGTGCTGCTTTTATCTGGGCAAAGTGTGAAGCTCAGGATGCTGGGAATGCAGCTCGGGGAAAGTGCTCACCTAGCAAACCCGGGTTCCTTCCTCAGCACCGTCCGTCATAAAAGCAAGCAAGTGAACGAACAAACACTGATGTTTCAGTATTTCTCAAAAGTAGTTCAAGAAAGTGCCAGAAAGTTCCATGGCGCTTAAAACAAGAGTGGTCGTCATATTTGTAGTCCCCATACTAAAGAGGCAGAGACAAGAGGGCGTAAGTTCAAGTCCACCTGGGTCAAAGTGAGAGCGCTGATTAGAATGGGAGCCTCGCCAACTCTGGTTGCCCTCATTGACCACCCCTACAAAAGCACCAGTCGCATAGTAAGAACTTAGTAGAGATTCTTAAATGAGAGAAATCAACAGCCAACGACACAGCTGCAGGTGTCAGAAGAAAGTCCCGGCTCCAGGGTGTCCACAGACAACTGTGCAGCGCTGACACGTCAAACAGGAGCTGACGACATGGCTGTCCACGCTTCTCGGTTCCTGCCTAACAAGTCTTCCCAATACCCTTATAATACATTCCCCTGCTGATTAAAGCTAATCAAGGTTGATTTCTATGATTTTCACACTAGAGCACTATTACAGAGGAATAAAGGCACTGCAAGATAATTACACCACCAGGGACAGAACAATTTTACACACACGCACATTTTGTCCATCTCTATCTGCACAGCTATTATCTACAGGTATTAGTAAGTCAGCCAAGGGAAAATAGATATTGGGCCATACTTTAATTTTAAGATCTATTTATTTTGTATGCTAGCATGACCATATGTTCCCCTATGTGCGTGTGCATATATGTTTGAGTATGTTGGTGCAAATATGTGTGCACATGCTTAGCCCGCACACCTGGAAGTGCTAGCTGGTACTCATGCCATGAGGTGCGTGATGGGCACAGGACAACTTCAGGACTGCCCTGTGTCCTTCCACTATGTGGGACAGATTCCCATTTGATGAGGCTTGGAGGCAAGCACCATCACCCCCTTACCTGATAAGCCATCTTGCCAGCCATGGACAGAGTTTTTTTTTTTTTTTTTTTTTTTTCTTTTCTTTTTTCATTTAGTTTTAACTGCATTGAAAGGCACGATATATCCTCCCTCACACCTTGCTGTTCTAAGGTCATTTAAAGAATCTTAAGAATTTTTAATTTCTCTAACGTTTTTAAATACTTGGGAGTTTAAGTATTTCTAACAATCACAAAAATTATTATCTTTATGCGAACTTACAGCCCTATGGAATGTCTACCACTTAAAGTCACAAATATTCATCTGTAAATATTAATTCCTTTGAGGAGCAACATGTCCACACAGCAAGATGACTCATAATCTTGAGCATTTGTGGAAGTAAGATTTAACTAAGCTGTCTCATGTCCCTCCCTATGGACACCCGGCTCCTTTGAAATCTCATCCAGTAAGGGCTCATGTTATTCCCGAAGGTTTCTTGTTGCTGTTTTGCTGTTTTTGCCATCTGGGAGTATTTTGTTTGACTGTTCATAGTGGGTTTTTGTTGTTTGTCTTAAGACATTTAGTCCTTGCTAATCTCAAACTTACTATGTAGCTAAGGATAGCCTTGAACTCCCAACTTTCCTGCTGGACTCTTTAATGCTAGGGTTACAGATGTAAGCCACCACACTTAGTTTCTTCCTTACGAAGTCACTTTATCTTTGCGCTCCTGGTGCTACTACCTCCCCACGTCCTGAGGTCTGGGGTTACGGGTACTTGGTGGTACCACGCTCAGCTACTTCTTTTTCCTTTTCTTTTTAGTATTTCAAGGACAATTTCTTCCTTCTTTCCTTTCTTGCCTGTGTGTGCATATGTATATGTGAACGTGGGTGCACAGGTACCTCCGTGTGCACGTGGAGGTCGGAGGAGAGCCGCAGGGATCAGGCCTCACCTGAGACAGTCTCACTGGTGTTTCCCACTGTGTATGTCAAGCTCGCTGGCCCAAGAGCTTCTGATTCTCCTGTCTTCCCTCCCAGTCCCCACAGAGGCTAAGATGTCTGCACTGTGCATCGACCTCCACATGTCCTCCTGCTTTCTTAGCAGATGCTCTCTTCTGCTGAGCTGTCTCCTCAGCAGGCTTCTCTTTTCTTTTGCTTTCCTTTCCTTCCTTCCTTTCAGATTTATTTATTTATTTCATATATATGTGTGTGTGTGTGTGTGTGTGTGTGTGTATGTCTGTGTGCCACATGCATTCCTCACGCCCTAGAAAGTCAGAAGAGAGGGTTGGATTTCCTGGCACTGGAATTGTGGGCGGCTGTGAGTCATGTGGGTGCTAGGAAACAAACCTGGTCCTTTGCAAGAACAAGTGCCTTTAACCACCAAGCCACCTGTCCAGTCCCCAGCTTCTTGTTAAATAAAAAAGGCATGTAACCTTTTCGGTAAGCGACTCTATTTGTCAGTATTGGAAACCTGTTGTCAGGGGCATCTTTAGTTGAGTATTTGGAGACATGCACCAACCACCCTTCTTTCCACCTGTGGACTAACTAACGGTGGTTCTGCGCACTAGCCAGCACTTCCTCCTACAATCCCCACAGCACTAACTCAGCCCAGCAGCCCTCTTGTTACCCAGCACCCCGTTCAGGTGTCTGCCTTGCAGTCCCTTCCTCACTGGCCAAGCCTGCTGCTCTGTAGAAGCTACCAAAACAGACACAACAGTCCAAAAGCAAACACAACAGACAAGAATGAGCTAGTCTGAGGGTGGATGAAAGTGAGCTCTGTGAAGAGGAACTGGCGACACAGAGCAATGTGTGGGAGAAACAGGTGTTAGCCAGGCACCAGCCCACCGTCCACAGACTGGGGGAAGTGTACCGTGGCAGTGGTTCTCAACCTCCCTAATGCTTTAATATAGCTCCTCACGTGAGCCCCGAACACACAAACATTTTCCTTGCTGGTTCATAACCGTAATCTTGCTGTTGTGAACTGTAATGTAAACATCTGATATGCAGGATATCTGATAGGCAACCTCTGTGAAGGGGTTGTTTAATCCCAAAAGGGTCGCAGCCCACAGGCTGAGAACCATGGTACTATGGGAAAGAAGATGAAATGTCTGTTTTATGTTTTCTTTTCCTCTTTAAACCTATTGCCAAAGTCCTCTAGGAGCTATCGATCAGACCTTGTCCTGAGGCAACTGCTCGATGGACTGGTGTTCTGCCGAGCCTGCCGCACTGATGAGAGCATTTTACCTGAACGGCACTTCTTCCTGTGGAACGTCCACGTAGTACCGGATGAAGAACCTCTCAGAATCTTCTCGCTCACCATCAGTGACAACACTGCCATTGAGTTTGGAAACGGAGGGCAATCTATAAATTAGAACCAAAATGAAGGCATTTTAAGGAACCGGAAATAAAGCAATTGGCTGCCGTTTTTGAAAGGACATAGCTGGTGGGGCCCTGATCCTGTGTGAGGAATGATGTGCAGTGACATCATCAAAAGAATGAAGTGAAGAGTGGTGCATTTTCAGATGTGACACCAATCTTCTGTCTTAGATCTAACTTTCTAGGCACAACTCTAGGTCACACTGTCTAACATAGGTACGTGGAATGCAAGCCGAGTTATAGGTCTGAACAGCCCCACCTTAAAGTTTGCTATTACTTTTGTATGTATATGTGTCTATGTTCGTGCATGCACTCACATGTGCGGGTGCCCGTGCAGGCCAAAGAGGTAACAGATTGCCTGCTAAAGGTGGTTGTACACCACCTGACATAAGTTCTGGGAACCAAACTCTGGTCCTTGGAAGAGCAGCACTCTCAACCACTGAGCTGTCTCTCCAGCTCCATTTTAAAAAACATAAAATAAAGGTAAAAATTTAATGCTATATTTTACAAAATTCAATGTAACCAGAATATAAGCATTTCCACGTGTAATCAATATTCTAAGAAGTAAGTCATAAGGCCTTTTAGAGTCTCTTACTCATAAAACTTAGGAGAGAACTAGTGTCTGTTTCATATTTCAAATTAGCCATGACATTGCTTCAATGCTCACAGCCACCCAGGCTGGGGGCTGCCATGTTAAACAGCACAAGTTCAAAGTGCAGCGCGTAGAATATGAACACATAACTCAGGAATCTTCTTACAGTTGTACAAGGACTGTGTGAGGAGCATAAAGCCCAAAGCCTACCTAGCCTGAGACTCAGGCTTCCCCTCTGACTGCGGTAAGATGTACCTACATGGCAGTGTGGAGCATTAGCTGGGCAGGAGGATCAATACTGTGCTTAGGGGGGCACTCCTCTGCAGAAACCTCAAAGCGTACTGCCCGTCCTCCAGGAGCTCCGTGTGGGGTGCATGTAGAGAGCAAAGCAAAGCCCTGGGGCTGTTTTTATTTTAGCCAAAATCTTTTCTTCTGCTAAAGGTTCGTGCAAGCATACACGGTGATGGGAAGCTGCGTGGTGTGCAAAGGCAGGGAAGGCAAGGAGCACACAGAAGACAGTAATAGCTGCCATTCTTAAGTGAATGAATATTCAAGGCAAAAAGCTTGAATGCTCAGATGGCTCCATTTCCCAGTGTGTCTGCACTGTACATGACCACTATGTTACAGGAAGTAAGGATGCCTGTGTCAGATGATTCTCCATCACTAGGCTTTCCCCTCATTGCCCAAAACAGGCTTTCAAATGTCCTAAGAATTTAGAAAACAAACAACGCATACTTTTTCCAGGAGAATTCCCCGCAGTGGTCTCGGCAAGACACCTATGTCTTGCTCTCTTCGGTGCATCCTTTCTTATCCAGGCCTAAGCTCTACCAGCACAAGTACAGCCTGCTCAGGAAATGGGACAAGCCATGACATCCCCTAAGAGTATACTGCCCTTTTAATGCCCCTTCAGAAGGATGTAAAGGCAGCAGGGCAACACACCTGGCTACCACCAATTTCCTGCGCTCCTCGGTGGTATATGGCTGTAGAAGTGGAATTCCTAGCAATCTTACTTCTTCAAGCTTGGGAAATGAATTTAGTTTGTCAATGTCTTCCCAGGACTGCAAACCTAATTGGAAAAAATATATATATTATTTAAGTAAACTCAGAAAAGTACAAAAGGAAGAAGATAAACACGGCCAAGCAGTTACCAGCCATTCCTGAAATGCTGAGGTGGTAACAGCCAGCCAGATGCTGGTCCCTTTCCCGGGACACAGGGATATGGTTAAACTCCAAAATACCTTCCCTGGAAAACAGGCCCAGTGCTGCATGCCCAGACTTTCATCTGCTCAGAAGCTAAAGCAGGAGGACCTCGAGTTCCAGGCCAGCTCGGGCAGAAAAATAAGCAAGAAAATCAACAAGCAAACCCACTTTTCCAGGGCCTCTCCCATCCTGTGAGCTCAGTGGTGAAGGACAGAGAGGCTTCTCCAACATCTTCCCATTCCCAACTCCACAGTAATGGCTTCTAGTTGGGTTGGCATGGTTGTTTTTAGCAAACAGGGTACATGCTATGACTTTTCTAAAATGCGACTTGATCAACTTTTACTTAAATGCAGACTCATGGTCTATGAATGCTAGAGGTGATGGGGCATACCAAACTTTGCCCTAACACACTCTAAAATGGGACAAGTGGAGGAGAACCAGAAACTAAGACTTACTGCTTTCAAGCTACCCCCATGCTGGTGACAAGGAAATGGGTCAAAATCACTGCCATCACAACCTGACCCACGAACACAACAACCCTAAACCCTGAAGCAAGGAGAGCACGAGTCAGCCTAAGGCGCTTAGTTCTAAAATGTTTTTCTCTCCCTGGCTGTGCGCAACTTTATCATCCAAGCTAATACTTGCTGTCTGACTCTGACAGGCTTTCACAAGGCTGAGACTGAGGAACAGAGAATTAACTGCTTTAAAATTTCACTGACCTTCAGCAAGGGTAAAGTGGGAACATATGAGGACTGGGCACATAGCTATCCCAAGTCACAGCTGTCCTCTCCCTGACTAGCGGGCGCTTCCACTTAGATGCAAAAGAGGTATGTCAAGGGTCATCAGTTGTGAAATATAAAGCTTCCATGTGCAAAATATCTGCTTTTAAAATTCCTTCCCAGGGGCCACAGAGATGGCCAGACAAAGGTACCTAACACCAAGGCTGACAACCTGAGTTCAATCCTCAGGACTTACATGGTGAAAAGAGAAAGCTAACTTCTTCGAGCTGTCCTCTGAGCGCCACATGTGCGCCATGGCATGCACATGTCCATTTACCACGCCAACACACAAAATAAAAAAGTAGGTGTAATTTCCAACCCCACCCCCCACATTTCCCACTCACAATCATAACCTCTATAGTGAATTAAACTGAGTTTATGTCTGTTGTAACACAGTTATTTTTAAGTATGCAGTTGTTCTAAGAAAACTAGGTCAAAAGAATGAGAGTAAAAGTCAAATTGGGAGGGCTATTTATTTATTTATCTATCTATCTATTTATTTATTTAACAAAAGCCCACTGATGGAAAAAGACAAGAACTTTTAAAACTTAATAAGCTAAGTCTGGAACAGGACTGTTAGCCCATCTACTCAAGGGGCTGAAGCAGGAGGGTCCTAGATTCAAGACCAGCTTGGGTAACTTAGTGAGATTAGCACAAACAACGCCCCAGGCTCAATCCACAGCACTGAAAACAACTTAACTGCAACTTAACTACAACCTAACAACCCAAGGAACAGCATGACCATCCACTCAGAACTCAACAACAATCCAAATAACAACCACCTACAACCAAACCACTAGCACCCTAACCAAAATCCAATTTATAACCAACTAATCAACCTACTGTGTAGCAGGTTCCTCTAGACTAAAATCTTCCATCTTGGAGGAAAATGCTTAAGACAGGATGTTCACAGGGAGGTGAAACAACAGGCCCATTCTAAAGGAAAGTGAAATACTACAGAGAAGCTCCTTAAGACAGGAAGTAAACCACTCAGGACAGCTTCAGGAAATCCCTGAGACTGATCAGATTCACTTGGGTCCATCCATTCCCAAAAGTATAAATAGTAAAGACTGCTGAGGGTCAATCTCAGACCATCCTAAATGCCTGGAAAAAGCAGAGACCAGCCAAACTGTCTGGAAAAAAATAAATAACAGCTGAGCTGCCTAAAGAGGCCCAGACCACTGAGGTACCTGGACAAGGGCACACTCCAAATTGTTGAGCTTCCTGTAGGTGGTTCAGTGTGCTCCAGATTTTCAGTTTTTGTGAACTGTCACTTGTGCTGTGTGGACTTTGGTGATCTAACCATCGTTGAGTCATTTCTGTCCTGTAAGTAATCCCCCCATATTTTTATAAGGAACCTCAGTAAAACTCATCGGTTCATCAAGATGGACTTTGATGGTATCTGTACTTTGGTCTTTTGTCAGCCTCTTTTCTTGGGTGTTTGCTCTCATCTTCCCAAGACTAGTGTCTCACAACCCAACACAACTAATGACCCAACTACATACAATACTAGTAACAACCTCACTATAAGGAAAAGTACAAAAATCCATCCACAGACAGCAGACGGCAAGTAAACAGACAGAGAGTCTTTCCCATTTGGCAGTTAGTGAACTTTATACTCAACAAGCTCACCCCAAGACGCCTTTTAGAAGTCAAAGCACACATCAGTGGTAACCCCTGAAGCTGACATGCACATAGAGGAACACAACTCTCATTCATATGTGGTGGAAATGGAAAATGGTGCAACTATTTTGAGAGTTGGGGTTTCTTAAAAAACTAAGCACAATCTTACTGCATGATTCAACCATCACACCCTTATTATTTACCTAAACAACTTGAAAGCGTATATATGCTTGAAAATCTGCACAGATAGTTAAAGTTTCTCAAACTTGAAAGTAAACACAAACCCTTCAGCAGATGATGGATAAACTATGGTACACCTAGAAAACTAGTATTATTCAGGGCTGAAAAGAAAGGATCTGTCACGCCACGAAAAGCCATGAGGGACTTAAATGTAAATTACTAAGTGAAAGAAACTGATTTGAAGAAGCCCCACTTTGTGTTGTTACAAGTAAATGAAGTGCAAAGAAGGCAAAGAAGTAAGTGCAGAGCCAATGGCTAAATGAGAGGCCGTCAGCGTGAGAAGGATAAGCACACCACGTGGAGGAGTGTTCTGCTCACTTCTTAAAGCCCATGCTGCACCCTAGGGGAAACTATGGACTCTCAGATGCATGAAATGTCAGAACCAGTTCACTGATGGTCCTGTTACAAACACACCAGTTGGGAGTGGGAGGTAGATAGTGGAGGCAGATTGTACATACATGGGAGCCATCTGCATTGCGTCTCCTACTTAAGTTTGCAGGGAACCTAAAGCTGGTTTTAAATAAAAATTGTTAACACATATTCATTCTTGTAATGCACAGGCTCCAAAAGCAATACAATGATAGTAAAAAATGTATAGATGAACACTTAAAAAGAATGACAGACTAGGATTCCTTACCCTGCACCTAGGTTAAAATGAATTGGTTTATATTCTTTTTCCTCTTTTAATAACTACTTCATCAATTTCACTTTACTCCTTTTATAGTATGACCCTTTTTCATGTATAAAAGAGAAATTATGGCTGTAATTCTATGCTTCTTAGTACTTATTAGCATACTTATGAAGAAAACGATTTCCTAAATGCAGCTGATCACTGGTACCTGCTGGAAACCCAGTGCTACCAGCAAAGCTATGACTGAAATACATTTTTACCATATTCCACATATGAGCTTGATCAGTCTGACACAGAACAAGGGTAAGCCTGGGCCTCACCTGACTTGTGGAGGCTGATGGATCGCAGATTAGGGAACAACCTAGCCAGGGAGTCAGCGGGCTCCTCAATAGCATTCAAGTGATTGTTGGCCAGGACCAGGGTATCCAGTGAAGGGAACATGACACCCAGCTTTCGGATTTCAGTCCAGTCTTGGAGGTTATTGTCTGTTATGTGTAGGAGCTTAAGGGAATGACAGCAAACAGAAGGACAAGACACTGTTTCATAGTCATTAAGGCACAGGAAGAGCTCCTCCAAACTGCAGAGAGAAAAAGAAACATCAGTTGAGTTTTATCTTTACACACACTGCCATGCAGTCACTAACTAAATGATGCAAGTGCCAGGGACCCAGCGGGCTGCGGCAGGAAGAACATCAATTTGAGGCTAGCCTGGGCTACAGAGTGATACCCTGACTTAAAAACTAAAAATAAATAAAAACCCACTATATGTGAGACTCTGACATGTATTGCAGACAAAATATAAAGGAATATTCCTGAAGCTGAAAGTAGTGTATCGCTGGGCAGGTAAATCTAATGTGAAGCAAGAGACCGACAGGAGCTGCTGCTCCATTATCTGTGTGTGCATTTAACCGAATGCCAAAGCACACAGCACAGATTCTAAGCGCAAGAGTGTTTTATGTAGTGACGAGCCTGAAGTGGAAGTGAACAAACCAGGATAAAGGCTGCCCTGCTTTCGAGGAACCATCAACTTAACTAAGCTGAGAAACAATAGGAGAAAGTTCCAGAAACAATGTGGACAAATGTTTATAAAAAAAAATAACTGCCAGATTCCTACCCCATGCCAGGCCTTGTGCCAGGAATGCTAATATAATGGTATCCATTTCACAGACAAGGAAACTGAGCCCAAAGAGGTGACAGAATTATCAAAGGTCTCAGGGTTAGTAAGTGACATCTGAGTTTAGACATTAATTCAACTGCCACTCCCACTGGTATAAAGTCAAGCCATTCTAGCACCTGAGAAGGAGAATGAGCTCAAGGCCAGCCCCAGCTACAGGGGAAACTGAGGCCACGGCTCCTGGGCTTCACGAGACTCTGTCTCAAACAATCAATTCCAGCAACATGCTGGACACTGTACATAGCGCAGAAAGCTCATTAGATTAACAGTAAGGAACTAAGGTGCAATGTGAGGGGAGATCCGTGGTGTGTGTGTGTGTTGGATATTTTTACATTTAGACAAGCAGAGAAACTACAGCTTCACTTCTTACTGTCAAAAGTTTCCTCTGCACAGATATATGCATAAACAGACACAAACAGAACAGAACAAAACATTTCTGGACTGACAACCCAAAGTATAATTTCTTTCTTAAATTATTGAAATGAATGCCAGGTTCCCTTTGCATCAGGCTGTAGAGGCACTTAGGCACCTCAACGTCACCATATTTTAGAGATACTAGTATTGTTTTCCCTCCAGAGGGAAGGGCTAAAGCACAATTCTTAAGTAGGGTACTCGGACGACTAAAATGTAGAAAGGCTGAGGTGCTCTGGATGGCAGCTCCTTCTTGGGATATTTCCTCAAAAAGGAGGTCATCCCATGTCTCCCAGCTATGTCCCTGGAAAGGTGAGCGGATCACTCCACATCCTCACTCCAGTGACTTTGTTTTTCTGACCTTTCTCCATTCAATCTACAGCTCTAGAGTTTCTGAGGTGAGAGATCTGCAGGCACAGACTGCGACATGCACTCCCCACCCCCTACCCTCCACCCGGTCCTACCCCCCATGATCTGTGGGCTTACTCTGGTAACTCCTGCAATATTGTGTGCACTGTTTCCCAAGATGCTTTGCTGTTGTTGAGGACAAGTTTGCGAACCCCAGAGAAGGAACCAGCGCATGTTCTCTCTAAAACCGACAGACTTAGAGGATTGGAACTCAGGTTTAGAAATTCCAGCTGAGGAACATTTGAAACAATCTTACTGACCTGCGGTGAAAAGAGAGAAGCATGAGTCAAACAGTAACTGGAACTGTGGTAGAGCAATCACATTCACGAGTGACTGAGGGAGTGGGTCCAGGTAAAGGGCCCATTACCTCAGGGAGTCACACTTTACAAAGCACCTACAGAGTAGAAGTGACTTCGACAAATTGAAGCAAATAGTTTATTTAGTCTGTTCCCAAGAAAGCGTAGGATAGCTGAGTTAGTGGCACAGAGAAGGACCATTAGCAAGGACCCCATTCTGCCCAGTATGATGTGCTCTTGCAAAAATAAGATAAAAGGATACTTCAGATGACATTCTAGGCTACATATTTTTAAAGAGCTAAGATTAGGCCACGCGACTCTCTTTGAGTGTGGTCTCCCTCGCATTCTCAGCACCAGGTTAAGTGTATGTGTCTTCAACCCTCATTCCCAGGAGTCCTACAATCATCTATGTGTTCAAAACTGACTGACAACGCAGTACCACTCAGGGATGCTTCAGTTTGTTTCCGAGACAAATCAAACTTTAAAACATATTTATGCAAAAACCCAAAATGTCCAATATAGAACAATAGATAGGAGATAGATAGATAGATAGATAGATAGATAGATAGATAGATAGATAGATAGACGGACGGATGAATAGTTACTGGTGAAGGAGAAAGCATGATCACCAGTTTATGGCTTACTCAGCATCTTATACAATCAAGTAGAGCAGGACATTTGACTGGTCTAACTATGCACTCTGCGAAGTTGTCTTCACACAGCCTATCTCATTAACTCTTAATCTGCCAAATGTGACTTTTATTGTGACAAGTGACGCACTGAAGCTCAGAGATGCTGAATAATTTGAGTACAGTCCCACAGCACATGATGAGTATGACCTGGAGAAAACGAAAAGCAGTTGAAGAGTAGGTGGCATGGCCAGTCAGGACCAAGTGAAGAAAGCATGGAGTGATGCTCAATGCCTACAAATGTAGTAAGGTAATGTGGGAGTCAGAAAAGAGCAGTAGGAATTGATCTCAAAGTGTTAAAAAGGCTTGGTTCAAATCAGTTTCTAACACTTGCTAGCTGACTGGTTTCAGACATATCATTTAACCTTTCCAACTCTGTTCCCTCCCTGGTAAAATGGAGAGAGTACCCGGATGTTCCAGGACCGACCGTGTACAGGACTCCACGGGAGATCACCTGGGGCTGAGATCTGAGCATCTCTGTTTTCAGAGCTATGGAGGAGATGAGTAAAACAGAGAGACACAGGCAGAACAGGGGAGATGCAGCAGCATGAGGCCATGGCATCTGCCTAGTTTAGTGAGATTAAGTCCAGGACGGCTCGCAAGAGTCTGCCAGAAGGAGAGGCCCTCCCTGTTCATCAACTCTGCACACTAAATGTTTCACAAGTGAAGAAGTGAGCCACTCAATAAGGAAGATGCACTGAGCTGCTGTTTAAAGTGTGAGGGACCCACACTGAGAATATTCCCTTGCAGTCACCTCTGTGGGTAAATGTTACCAAACAATAATGCAGTACAAGGCTAAAATCTGACACCCAGGCTGTGACTACAACACAGCTTAATAGCTTGTACAGTGACCAACAGTATACGGACTCCGTGTCCTAAATACCAATGAGAAGGACTTTCATACAGAAGACAAGAAACAGCTACCAGGGGGGTGTGAAATTCTGCTTAATAAGTTCAAATAATAGTATAACACCAATAAATAGACAAAATGTAAAACCTCCTCCCTCTGTATTTCTGTAATAAAAAAAATGAGTAACTTAAAGGTTGTGCAATAAATCTGGGCTCTCTCAAGGCTAAGGGCTGTGTGATGTTCTCTGTACCATTTACACTGGCCGAGTGTTCAGTGAGGACACTGGGTATGGCCCTAACACTAAACTGGACACAAGCTTGGGAATCAGCAGGAAAAGTTATGTGTTAGAAACAAGTATTTTCTTTTAAAGTATCAAGATCAAAAAGGCTTCCTGTGTAACCTCACACTGATGGTAAGAGTTGTGAAAATACAGTGTTGGTTAGAGTGATAAAAATGTCTTTATGATGGAAAAACTTCCCAACAGCAAAAGCAACCCATCCACTGAACTTCTAAGGCAGTTCTTGGTATCTTTAAATTAAAAATAAAAAGACTCCCCTAGCTGGAATGAGTTGAGTTTGGTCATGTGCAAAAGCTGGACGATGAACTTGCGTTACCTCTGAGGCTTCTGCAGCTCAGCGTTTCAGAGGGGGTCCCTACCCTGGCATCTATAAAGGAAGAAACTAAAGGTGTAAGGAAAATGGGGAAGGGATTGATGACAACAATCTGAAATTTATGCCCAAGCTTTTCTCTATCTACCTCACTTGACTAGCTAACTCCTCCCTCCTCTCAAATACTTGATTCAATTTCTTTTAGAAAATGGTTTTGATAAGAAAAAGAAGGGAGAAAAGAGATACATTGGGAAAGGTTGAACAAAATTCTACCCAGCCAAAAATTCAAGTTGTAGCTAAAAAATGCAATTGCTTTATATACAGGTGCCCAATTAAGAAAGGTAGACACATTTTCCCTCCCTTGAAGGTATTACATTTCTCACCCATATGTGCTTTAGCCTCAGATATACAGCAGGGAGGAGCTTAAAAGAAAAGAAATGGCTCATAACATGTAACATTAGCGACCACTCAAACTCAAAGAGCACACTGCATTACTTAGCTCCACACTGCTATGTTAATACAGGCTGAATTCAAATGGGTTAATGTCTAGAGACAAATGATCTTTTTCATAATCAGACACATGGGTTGTAAGGGGATTGAAATGTGATGTCTTAAAACCAGTGACCTATGGATCATTTGTAGCCTGGCAGAGTTTAATTAAGGCAAAAAAAAAAAAAAAAATCAATACTCTTTTGCCGTTGGTTCTTCTCTAGTCTCTTTATGCTCTGATATATACTCTGTAAGACCGAGATCAACTACAGTTAGGAATAAGGATTACAAGGAATGGTGAGAAACCTGAAAGCAACAGGAGCAACAGGCTACCAAGTACATTGGAGGAGCTTAAACAAAGTGCAGAGACATTCCAGATAAATATGCAGCCCCTGGCTGTATGCAGTGCGGTCTGGGAAATAACACAGACCTGTGCTAAAGAAGAGAAAAGACTGGGTTCCTAGTGTAAGCTCCATGTGCTGGTCCCTCCTACAGACAGCATCCTTCGGAGGGGTGGTCACATCATTGAACTGCTCACCAGTGAGCAAAAGTTCACAGTCAGAGGTCAGAGGTCAAACACAGCCTGCGTGATGTTTTGTTATCTTCCAAACAACAAACATAGAGGATTCAGCAGAGGACAGAGTCAGAGGAGGGTCTGGTCTGAACACCTTCCCACCCCACCCCCAGGGCTACCAATCTACCAACGCTAGGGAGACAGCTTCAGCAGGACTGAGGACACTCACTGGTCTGAGGGTTAGCAAGGTGGCCTTTTCTGCCCCAGGGCAGCATGAGCAGATCATGTCTGGTGACTGGGTGTGTCAGGACCAAAAAAGTACAGATTAGGGTTTGTGAACAGTGAGATATGTAGTTTGCATATGGATAGAACTACTTCTCCAGCCTGAGGAATCTACGCTTCATTTATAAAGCAGGTGACAAGAACATTCAAGAACTTTGATAAAAATCTTATCAAAACAGGAACTATCACTAAGACACAGACACCAAATTTGACAGTGGAACAAACACATAAGAAAAGCTGAACAGTGTTCACAGGCTTTTCTTAAAAAAAAAAAAAAGAAGGCTGTTTTAGCATTTGTGTAGCACTTGATAGCTACAAAGTATTTCAAAGGCTAATTACTAGCCCCGTGTGCAGAAAGAGTTGCAGCAAGCGACCTTCACCAATCCATAGATGCAGTCAGTCATTCCTTAACAGAGTCAAGAGGCATCTAACTCTAGTGTGCCGGGTGGTGGTGATTTTAAAAAGGCAGAAATCATCACCAAAACCAACCTCACATTCTCTAGGAAAACTGTGGCACCTGTGAGTGAGTAAACCACCACGATGGGGTAAATCCTTTGGCGGCAGTGGGCAGATGCTCGGAGGTAACCTGACACAGGGGTGGCAACCCTGGTAGAGGCCAGCAGGTGACAGGGAAAAGAGAGCAGTGGGTTTGGCATGAATAGAACGAGGAAGCTCCCATACCACGTGCTTGAGATGCGCTGAGCATGGCAATGCGGGTCTAAAGATAGACAGGAAGTTCTAGAAACAGCAGAGAGCTGTGTGATCAGGGCTACTCCTCAGGACTCAGACCTTGGTTGCTAAGCAAGGAAAAGCAGGGGAAGGATGTCATGCCACAGAGTCCAGCATGATTCCTTCATACAACAGTCTGTGGTGTGCTGGGCAATGATGGAGGAAGCACAATACTGCGGGCAAGGGAAACCCCCTGAGGAAACTTCTCCAAGTAGTCAGAGCAAAAAATTATGAGCATAATTTAAGACAAGAGAATGAACCAAGTCGGAAGAACTTACACGTTGTGGTAGTTAGTCTGAGAAAATATTTTAATCAGGTAGGTAGGTAATGGTATCTATAGTAACAAGAAGGAACATTATGATGCTGTTATTGTGTAGTTAGAGATACTCTGAGGTCAAAAGGCATCAGTTTTATCAAACTACCTGACACTTGATTAATATAAGGAAAGTTCTGAGGGATTTGTCACAGATTTCAGTAACAAGAAAGTGAGTATGATCTTTGCTGTGGCAGAAGCTGCGGCAGAAGCAATTCTAAGTCAGTCTGTGGAGATAAGCAGAAGTGGAAGCAGGCTGTGAGCAGAGGACAGCAGACTGAGAAACTGAGAAAGCGGTTAGTGGGCGAAGCCTCTGCACACTCATTAACCTTTCAATCCCTGGAATACAATGTGTCCATGTTACTCACAGAAATAAGCACTGACTGAAAACTCACCACAGGTAGTTGGTGACTTGCTGTTTACCTTAACATAGAGAGCAAGAGAGAGGCTCGAGTGAGAACCAGAGTCAGCAGGATGTAAAGTGACGTAAGCATGAACCTAATGGTTACCGACGCCTTTCCCCAAACACTGGTGCGCAAGCTTTACCTCATGCCAGTCTTCGAGCTTGTTGTCAGAAAGATCCAGTTCTGACACATGTGCGCAGAAGGCGGCGATTTCTCTCTCATCTCCCGCGCAGGTAATCCCGCAGCTGTTCAACACGAGCACACTCGGGAGGTTGAGGCGATCTGAATCATTGGAAACACAGAACACGTGCTCCACTCAGCCTAATTCTTGCTATGTATGTTTATCCCCCAGGAATCATCAGGAAACAAAACTAGCTATACCTCCTGCATTCCAAGAGGGCCTACAAATTATAATGGGGTCTTGGAGCCTTGACTCCTAATGGGAGAGAGTTAAATATAGGCCAGGAGGAGCTCCTTAGTGCTGAAATCCCACCTCAGAGTCTCCTCAGCTCTGCTCCCCGCCAGGTACCTGGCAGTTACCAGCAACACCCACACTGTCATCTCCACCGCACATCAGACCCAGATGACCTGTGGTCTAGACCACCACTGACTGACCTCAGTTCTGTAGTTCTGAAGCGTTCTGTACTGCTCTTTTCTCTCTAATGCTCTTTGTAAAAGTTGTCTCAAACTACTAATGAGTTATCTGCTAAGCCACCTCTGTCAAGTTCGTGTGTTCAAAATATCTTCCTCACTTATGGGAAGATAATCAAAACGCTGTTACTTTCACTCCTGCCTACCAATTATTCACGTTTTATATTCACGTATTAACAGATTTTTTTTCCTTATGAAAATATAACCCTTCTTTTAAAATAAATTCCTGATTGGAGAAAAGGCTCCAGAATCTGAAATACCCCAAAACAGGGTCACCCAAATAACAAGTGTGACCACTGCCTGTTCTAACATGCATGTGTCAATAAAACCACTCTACTGCAAGGGATAAACATAACAACTCAACCACATTTTCTCCCTCTTGGAAAGAAACAAGAGCTCCTGAAGGTCATGATTTCTAACTTGAGGCCTTGAATTATATGGTTTTTCTACTAAGTGCTACTTAGTATCAAATTTCTCAGATGTAGCACACAGCCTGGGCACCAAACTGCCAGCTCAGAAGTCTAGTCTATAGAATGGACGACAGCTATACTGAGAAATGACTGAGTGTGGACCCTGAGTGCTGGAATAACCAGTGATTCCCTATGAACCCCCCCTTTAATCACAAAGAACTATTTCTAAAATCTCTTAGTGTCAGCTAAGATAAAAGGCTAGCGACAACCCACCTTGCACACGTCCCTCTCCTAGAATGCCTTTGTCTCCTCTCTAACCATAGTCTACGTTCTCCGAGGGCTTGTTAACCTTTGACCCTTTCCTGATAGTACTATCTTCTAAATTTCATTCTTAACCACTGTGGCTTTCATTTGGCTCAACATAAGCTACATTGTGTTATAGCCTCATAAATGTGAATGTCGTGAAATCTAATCCAAGAACCCATGAAGGTTCTCAAGGGCACAGGCCAGCCTTGTGCTATTCTGTACCCTCCAAGTTCCTTGAAAGGGTATGCACTGGAAGTATTGTATTAGTCTTGCCCTGTAAGGACAACTAAAATGCCTCTGGCTAATTTGGAAAAAAAATCATTTCTGTGAGGCTCTGTAAGACAACACTGGACTCATAGCATGCAGTGATACCCATTTGACTCATAATTCAAAATAAAGGTGTTCATTCATAAACAAGGCAATGTTGTGATCTAGCCTAGAGAGTCACCCACAAATTCTCAGTCCCACCTTCCTTACCTTTCATAGGAGAGCCCTGGGGGGTGGCCGGGACATGGACTCCCATCCCAGGACCACGGCGGTAAGGGAAGTTTTCAGGACTGTATTTTTCACACAACACTTGCATGAAACTTCTTCCACTAGGCTGTTCCATCTTCTTTTCTGAAAAGTCTACAAGAAACCGAAAAATCATTTATTCATGTAAGAACTAATTCTTGTTTATGAGGCAGGAGGCTGGTACTGCAGACGGGTGCAGCATGCTGCTACCTCAGGCCGACTTGTACTGTGGCAAGAGCACAAAATGTGAAGAGGACAGGGTGGGATGTGCAATATCACTAAAAAGCAGACCAGCATCTAGAGAATGGTGTCCTTCCAACCATGGGTAAACAAGGACATCTTTGGTTGGTTTATAAGGTACATGTAGGAATTAGAAAAAGGCTGAACAAGATGGTGTAGCCTAAACATGAGACTAATGTGAATAGTTCATATGAATCCTTTAATCCTGTCCTTTGAAATGTATTCTTTGCCCACGGTAACAAGAACCCTTGTATAAGCTGTGGCTGACAGGAGAGACACATCTGTGGTAATTCCAGAACTCTTTAAGATAGCCAGTGCTTTCCATCCGACCTTCCTCTTCCTGCCTCCCTTCATTCTTATAAATCAAAACAGGTGCCTTACTGGATCATGAGTCTAGGAAGTAAACCCGATGAAAGTGGAACATAAGCAAAAGGGACCAAGGTCCCCCCAAACTCCATGGACCTATGCTCTCATACCTTTGGAATTCCAGTGACAGATGATAATCTACTTTAATGTAAGCCACTGTCCTCCCTTTCCTGGCCACTTACAACTGGACCTAAGCCTCTGGTGTTGATTTCAGGGGGTTCTCTCTATCTGATCTCATCTCAGGGCCCACACATTCAGTAACTCTAGCATTTTCTCTGCACCCATGCACATATCAAAGGAGAGAGTACTAAACACGCTGACTTCTGACAGCCTGACAACCCCCTGCCCTCGGGGACTGGGCTACGCTCTACACGGTGTATCAGCCAGAATACAGGCAACTACAGTTCATCTCCAACTGCCAGCCACCACACTACTTTTTAAAATTAATCGATAAAAAGAAGAAAGATGGTGATTGAAATGAAGAAAAGGCTTAGAAGTGGCCCAGCAATGAGAGGACACAGTGGCCTACAAATAGTTGCCAAAGCAGCTCCAGGCTTGGATCACTGCATGCTCCCTTAGTAGCTGAGCAGGGTAGGAAAGAGCTGGCCTTTGAGGAGGGGAACACACTTGTTTGGTTTCTTTGAACCCAGTTTGGCACTTGGGTAATTTGATAGATATGATGGATCCAGGACCAGATGGAAAGGAATTAGGAAGATGCCACAAAAAACACAGGCTCAATGAAGACGTGAGCTAATATACCAGGAAACAAGCACTGAGCATGAGAGACTCAAGACTGCTTTAGCAAAAATGTTTTGGGGAATTGCAGGGGCCAGCAAAAGGAGAGGTGGGTGTAAGGCGCACCCTTGGGTTCCCGGTGCTGAGGATTAACTAGTATCTTTAATCAGTCAAGGGATGGATGATGAACTGCACTTCCTCTGTGGACAATGTGGCCACTTGGTGGCATTCTGGAGAGCATTGTAAAGTTTGGTGACAAATGTTGGCTGAAGATGGAGACTCAAATGTCGCATGGATATAGGACATGTTATGAGGAATAGAAAGACAAAAGAACTATGGGGCTGGGGAAAGAAGCGGCAGCAAGTCACAAAGAAAAGCAGCAGGAATAACTAAAGGGCAGAGGGCACAGTCAACAGGCTAGGACTTTGCTGAGAAGTGAAGGAAGATGGGATGTCAGGCCCCTCGGCAACCAGAGTAAAAAGCCATGGGCACTGGCACGATTCCCTCCCTTACGCTACTAGAGACTGGTTGGAGAGACGGTTCAGTGCTTCGCAGCACTTGATGCTCTCCCAGAGGACCCTGGTTTGGTTCTGAACACCAACATGCCAGCTCCAAACTATCTATCTGTAACTCCAGTTCTGGGGGATCCAATACCCACTTCTGGCCTCCATAAGCACCAGATATGCTTGCGGAACACATACACATATGTGAGCAAACACTCATAAACATACAAATAAATACAAATAAATCATTAAAAGCAATTAGAGATTTGAATTCAGCTATACATTAGCTAGGGAGGCGAAGGACTGGAAGACACCAGCAGGAACAAGCATTAAGGAGTTTCTCCGAGTGCTGTTAGATTCCAACCAGCTAATGCTTCAGGCTGCTCGCTGTGAGGGCTGACATTTATTTCCCCGCAGCAACATGCTTTACTTGTGCTTTTATAGTTAAATAAGCCAAACACCGACTCTTTTTCGCAGGCTATTAGAATAACTCTACCCTTAAACTGTACAGACAGAACCACTGTGGCATTCTATATCTTCTAGTTCTGACTCAGAGCATCAAGTGAAGCATGCTGTATATGGCAAGGGCTTGATGAATACTGTTGAGGATTACAATCACTCATCTCTAGAGTGCTGAGCAGAAAAGGCAGAGACTTTGGAAAGAGGGTAGATGAAGCCCCACTCAGATTTTACCACTTAATAATAGCTTTGTGACTAACAGCAAGATGCTCTACCGCCTGCAGGAGCAAATATGTCAGCACTTCCTTCTTTCTGTACAAATGAGCATACCCATCTAATTAGTATGCAAAATTGAATTTTTTTTGTCCTTGATAAATGGTAAAATTATATGTATACAAAATAACTTTTAAAATAAATCTTTATGATTATCAGGAAATGTCTGATTTATATATTTTATCTGTTCATATACCTGAGGTCATGTAAAATTTCTTGGATGAAAGGAGTCACAAGTGGAGAAAGTTTTAAAAAGCCCCAATCCGTACACTACTCGGCCGGCAGGGTCACTGGGGAGACTGCCAATGTGCAGAACAGCTCCAAACTACGCACTGCTGTTCTTTCTGGTGGGAGTTACGGGAAGATGGAAAACTCATGCACACAGCAAGTTTACACTCCTCACAGACTAGGTACACATGAACTAGCTCCTAACCTCTCTCTCCTCCTCACCCATGGATGACCTAAACCTGCCCCTCAAGTCTGCAGCAAGACTTTAAAGGAGGAAAACGCAAAAACTGCCTGTCTTCAGCTGCAACTGAGCAAGTCTACGGGACTTTGCACAATCAGTTGAGATGTTTACAACACACGATTTCACTGATTATATGTATATGTATATGTATATGTATATGTATATGTATATGTATATGTATATGTATATGTATATGTATATGTATATGTATATGTATATGTATATGTATAACAGGTCACCTTGGAAACACCTTCAACACCAGGCTGCACTTCATTTAATCCCTATATTTGTAAGCTTACACCTGCTTTAGTGCTATTAAGATATGACAGTTTATTCCACTGATCTGCAGAGTGGTAAGCGTCTGAACAGAGCTACCGTGCTTCAAGAAGTCTCCGACTGGCAGGTTCTTTGTTCATGTAAACTCACCACCATCAATAGCACACAACACAGCTCAGGTGCTCTGCCACTAGTGAAAGGCTCCAAAGGTCTTATCAAAGTCTGTCCCAAGCAGAACACCAGTGGAATTTTTAGAAATGGTTAACAAAACATCAGAGAAATTACACTGTCATCCTCCATACAATTGGCAGTTCAGGCGACTAAAGCGTGTGGAAGGTAAACTGTCACTGTGGCAATGCAGTGTTCAAGCACATCTTTGATGTGGAGGCTTCTGCAGCAGTTACAGCTATATAACTCAAGGGCAGCGAACTCGGACACAACTGAAATGCAGACCACACAGGAAACACAAAAGTAAATAGTGATTCAAGTGAAGGCAAGTGCCTGCGATAATAAACAACCATGGGAACTTGAAAGTTTTCCCTTGAGTCTTCACGCTTGAGAAAAACTCTTCCAAAGCCAGGCCCGGAGGTGCCAGTCTATAATCCTCACTTCTTGAGAGGCGGAAGCAAAAGAATCTAAGGTACAAGGCAGCCCAGACTACAACTGATTTCAAGGCTACCCTGAACTACTTACTTAGTGAGGCTCCATCGCAAAACAAAAATTATTAAAAAACGCTAGGAGTACAGATAGTGTCCTTGTTTGGCATATCATATACAAGACCCCAGGTTCAGGCCCTCGTACCCTAAAACAAACCAAAAACCGCTTTCAAATATTCGGGATATGAAAATATGTAGTGTTCTCTCTGGGATTTCAAAGTGACCTCCTTTACTGTCATTTACTGCAGAGCCTTCCAGCAAAGCAGGTGCTGCCCCCACAGACGCGTGGCCGTCCAACTAGAGCCTTAAGAGGGCCACATGGATCAGTAACACAAAATCTGCTCAGATCTGCTGTGTTTTAGGAGGAATGGTAGGTAGGAAAAGAAGACTGAAAACCAAGAAGGCTGAAAAAGGAGGAAATGTGCAATGGAAAGATCTTTAACTCAAGCCCTTTAAAAGGTTTGGGGGATAATCTATGACTTTCTGGAAGTAACAGGAGTCAAATTACACCTGTCTACCTCTGCAGTTGGCAGAGTTCAAATATATTTGTAAAACTGTGCTGAACTGGTGCTGGAAACCGGGGAGTCAGCCAGCTATCTTGGGGGATGCCACTGGTTCCATTACAGGTGGTGGGGCATGAGAAAATCTCAAGTCCTTTGTGCCTCAAGATCCCACTGCAGAATGCTGCAGCACCTGGAAAACGTCACAACAAAGCATGTGCTGGGGATAAGGTGTGCACAGCGCTGCCACCAGCTGGATTGCTATCAGAGCATCTAGTCTCACGAGAACACTGTCAAACAACCTGCCTCCCCACCCAAAGAGGGTGAGCTAAAGTATGGAAGTCAACACAACTGGGTTAAAGCTGACCCTGGATGCTAACGTTATTCAAGACACAGCCTCTGGTGGTAAGCAATATAAATACTGTCCACAGAAACAACAGGGAACAGTGTGCTTCATAAAGCAGAAATACTACCAGCCCCGCTCACAACTTCCCAGAGACAGAAATACCTCAGAGTGCTAAATGTAAAATCGAAACCTTATAAAAATAGAAGTATTGGCGTGTATGAGCACAGGCTACCTCTGAAAGGAAAAAAGAGAAAGAGTTAGAGGCAGCAGCAGCAACTGTCTCTGAGAGAC